GTGTTGCTGCCGGCGTGGGAGATTATCTTCGCAGCTTCCCACTTTTCTTCTTTGTCGGTCGACTTCCGCAAACGCCTGGAAGGTCAGCACAATAAAAAATTGATCCGGTGCACGACAACCCTTCTTCCTCAGAGTCAACGAAGAAGCTTCAAGAGATGCCGCCGAAAGAAATGTTTGGAATCGTTTACTTGATAACTTATATTAAGCTTTGAGCGATCCGGCTGGTCAGTTATTTAAAGTTCTGGGCTCTTAATGTGGGTAATTCTTGAACGTATTGAGGCAAACGTGCGCATCCCAGGTTTGTGTATAGATAGAGAAGAAGAAGGTTTTTCGATCACCGGAGGGTAATCGCACACGCTGGCAACAAAACAGGCCGCGAATTGCTTGAAGTCCGGGCCTCGGATGAGAACTCAGTCAATCGATTTATCGATCTGGCGCCGGCATACATCGCCCTGCGCAGACATCTCCGGACTGATGGTACTGGCGGTTGACTGTTCCCCCTCTTTTCTCCCTCCCATAACGGTTGCTTGGCCCCTTCCTCCTATAAATTTTGCTTGTCTTTCTTTGACGATTTTTATCTCTGACAACGGACTCCAGAAAGAGCCTGAAATCTGCAAAACTGATATACTGCTGATCGAAACAACTTCTACTTCTCTATGCCTACCGCCTTTACACTGCCGGATGCCAGTAGCACCTAAAGTGGCATTGCAAATTTATGCCACAAAATGCACTTTCCCGATATATAAAACAAACAATGCACATTTTTCTAAATATCAGTATTAGGTTAGGAAACGGAAAATAACTCAGTAATTAAATTTCCCCCAAATACACTTTGGAATAACTTTGCTAAGTTTCCTTATATAGAACTTGAGACATTAAATGTCTCCCTTCCGTGAAACTGGAGATTTGGTGGATTAGTAACCTCGCTATATACAAAGGGACTCCTATTAAAGATGTTCTGTTTATCAATTTGACCCCTGTAAGTGACTGATCTTAATAACGATTTCGATTATTTTTGTTCCACTAATCTGAGTTACACTTCCTTTGATTTTCAGCGGACGAAACAAACCATATTTTCTCCCGCAAGGGTTTAAGTAAGTCAATTTTTTGTGAACATATATTTAACTTAAACAGCCCGATAAGCATTAAATTTATCAAATCTTTCCTCAACTACCCCTTATCCAGTTCGAATCGAAGCCCCACGATTCGCACGAAAAAACAGTGCCGGCAGGTTTGTCTGTGCAATGGAGACGACGCACAGGAATTCCTCGCGAGTCCTACTGGATTGGTTTCGTGCTCGAAAGACATCCCCAGCTCCACGCGGTCCTCCCTTTCATTTTCCAGCCTCCCGTTATAGGCGACAGACGGTGGAACTCATTGAAAGCCAACCCTGGAATAATATAACAATCTACAAACAGATTGTCGGCGAACGCAATGACAATCTACTGTTGGAAGCAGTGCTCATTATGCACCGAACCAGTTCCCAGCACACCGCAACCTACGAATGCCAGGCTGGGGAGATACTCTCAGGAAGGATATCTCGCGTTTATGATAGTCTTGCCTTCAATTTTACCGGTAATTCATATCCCCTTTTCTCTACTTGTCTTCCAGCTCAAATGGTGAAACTAGGATATATTGAAATATCGGCATCCAATGTGATATATAAATATTGGTAACGGAAGAATAATGTTTATTGCGATAGTTTTCGAGTCTCGTTCCCCAGCTCGTCGTCGAGAAGGTGATAGTTGTGGGAAACTATGATGAACAGAAGATTCTACGGTGGGTTTACGTGTAGAAAGATAATTTTTATCCGCATTTAATTCTTCAGTCAGGGGGGAAAAATGGCTGTCATCCGCATGTAATTATGGGGTCAGTCGGGGGATAATTGTCACCCGCATTTATTCATGCTGCGGGTGGTGGCTACTTTAGCTTCCATCTGATCTTAAGAGATTTGTAGTTCAAACCGAAACCGATATGCTTGTTGATGCATGCGTCGTCCAAGTGCATTGCCTCCAAGAATTCGCGGACCTTCCTAGTTGAGCAGGCGGCAACGCGTTCGGTTTGTTCAGATGCAAATAAATGTGCTGTGTCCAGTGTGTGTATGATAATCTCCAATAGGTGGTTTCGAGTCCCCATCGGTAACTGGTGTTCATGCAAGCGGGCGGATAGAGCTCATTGTGCACAGAAACAGTTCCTAAGACACCGCAATTTACGAATGCCAGTGTGCGGAGATACCCTAAGGAGGATTTCACGCGTTTATGATAATTTTGCTTTCAATTTTACCGATAATTAATTTTCCTCCCTTTTTAAGGTTCGGCCCTGAATTTCTGCAACCTGCCGACATTTGCGAAAGAGTGACACTCATTCACTAAATGGCATTGAGTAAGGCTGTAGTACTGATTGTTGTGTAGCCTATTCTCAAGTCCTTTCAGTCACGATAGGATGCCCGATTTTTAACCAGCTTCCATATGACCGCTAAAGAAAAGGTATATACTGTAGAAAATGGCTACTTAAAAATATGCATCATTTCATCTATTTTGACTGCCTTTATAAATTCAAATATATTTTATTTAAAACATATACTTAAACATTCCTCCTTGTACTAATTTGGTAGCAAATTACAGCTTCTTTAAACCTAACACTTAAAAAGGGTATTTTTTTTGGTTTTAATAAAGTTTACAAATTGTCGAATAATTTCGATATATACTGATTGTATTATTTGACTTCTAAGTTTCAAAATTGCATGCCGTGTACATACTGTTTGCCTACACTAGTCACATACTTCTCATGAAACGTTGCAATAGGCATGAATCATGCTTTGTACATCATGGACTGCATTAATACATTGACGGATGAGGGGCATTGTGACGAACACCTCACAATCGTAAAATCTCACAATTAGAATTTTTTCTAAAATCGGCGGATACCGTTTCTTTAAAGAAAGGCGTAATTGGCTACCAAAGGAGTACACGAAATAACGTTTTCGCATATGTTTTCCATTCAATATACAGGGTGTACCAAAAAAAATGTATACACATTTTAAGTTATTGTAAACTTGGTGTTTATCATAACATTGTTATTTCAAAAACGTAAAAATATTTAAAAGTATCATTTTATTGTTTTTT